GCGAATCCACAGAACAATATAGAGAGAGTCTAGTGGGAGTCGACTTAATGCTTCTTCTTGAAGCTTTTTGATAGCAAGTGCTCTTTCCTGTGGCGTTGGGGGTAGTCGTGCCTTGGAACTCGAGGGGGCTGCGGACAACTGGCTGGATGCCATTGATTTTGACATTTTCAATTCCAGTAAGCTTTTTTTGTAGAGAGAGAGTGTGTCGATATGTAAGGGTGTTTGAATGAAGTGATATAGAAAGAGGAATCATGTTGAAAATCAGACGATTACCCAGGAATGAGCACCTTTATATGGCGTATCTTTTCACATGTCTCGTGTATTTCAATTAGAACTGGTTGCCTAACTGCCGTGAGAGGGTGTGTGTGTCTAATAACAAGGATGTGATACTGGGTATGTCCATGCGAGTCCCCTGTTCCTGTAATAGAAAACAATGATGACTGTTGACCAGGTTAGAGAAAGCATATTTCGAACGGTAGACAAGGTAATCCATTGGTATGCGTGGGCAGTCAACTAATTGGCCGACTCCTAACTCAGAGTAGTAAGGTATGACATGTGGTGAATGAATGGACAAGACAACAAAAGCGGGCTGAGGTATCCGTGCCTTGCATAAAGATATATGTAATGCGGTCAGAAAAGGCGTCTTCATTTCTTCCAGTCCTCGATCCACATTGTGGATCCTGCCTCTGAGTCCGCTCAGTGTGGGAGCAAGCGGCTTCGGTGCCTTTCTCATGCACACTTAGTCGTGCAACCGTGTAAAGTATGTATACCCTTTCGGCATTTGTGGTTGTTGTCATCTCAGATCCAAGCAATTGGTCAGAAAATTGTTAATCTGAGAAGCAGCCTTTGCCATATTCCATACAAATGGATGTCGATTCTCCCCCCTCCCCCAAACCTAGAGTATCCAATGAGAAGAGCAATCGCGTACAGCGTTGTAGTATCAATGAGTGGAGGCGGCCATCTCTTTACGAAGAAGCTGCGTACCAACATGTATGGTGTTTGAACAGCCTTGAACTCAAAAATGTAGTCAGGCTCAAAGTGCGGTAAATGAGTGGACAAGAAGCCTCAAAAAGGATATGACTCATAGTATATAAGGCAGTAGGTGTCAAATAATGGCTTCTCAGCCAGTCAATGTGCATGGTAGAGTAGCTGACCAGGGGGTAACCCAGGGTCCCATGTGCGGCGCAGCGAAATCAATGCAGCTTAGCGCCGTCAACTGGTGGAATTTTGGGGGCCATTCCCCGAATCAGATGGTTGCCTGCTTGGCTCGGTGTCTTCCCTACATAGTAGGCCATATTTTTGTAATGAGGCTGCTATTTGATAGACACAACGCTGGGTACGCTCTCCCTGGTCATAACCCATGAGAGGAATTTTTACGAATTTCTGCGATTGCCGGAGGGAGCTCCGCACAGAAATCCTAGTTGCTATCCTTGGTGCTGAACAGGGAACATCTTTATCTTTCCTTCAAAGATGTGAAGCAGATAGCTCAGGAAATGATTGAGTTGGACGTTAGTGTAGTTCGCGAGAAGAGAAATGAAACTGTCAAAATGGTCAAAGTCGAAGTTTGGCGTCGGAAGTTGGAGAGTTTTGCTGACTAAGCTCAAAGCCAGCGTGTTGCGTTCGCAAGTCTAGAAAGACGAGCAGCAGCAGCAGCAGCTTCAGCAAGACAAGCTGAAGTTGATCGATGAGCGCAACTGGCAAGGCTGTCTTCTCTCTCTCATCTCCAGCTTCTTCTTCTTCTGTCGGGCCATCATGGCCAGCGGTGCAATTGAGCCGTTTCTAAAGGGCAGCACCTCTGAAAACACCCGTGGGCTGCTGCGTGTCGTTATCTTACTGCTCATCGCCGCAGCCGCAGTCTCCAGCAGATTGTTCAGTGTCATAAGTATAGATGTCCCTCAAATTAGTTAAACTTACTACGTCTTACAGACCAATGTCGAGCGTAATGGCTAACTGTTTTGCTGCTTTAACTAGGATTTGAAAGTATCATCCACGAATGTACGATTACCCTTTTGGACTATATGGAGATCAGCCCAACAGTATTCTTCCCCTGCGAAGCCGACTGTAACTGACCATAATGCGCCGATATAGTCGATCCATGGTTTAATTTCCGAGCTACAAAATACCTGGTTGAGCATGGTTTCTACAAGTTCTGGGACTGGTTCGATGACCGTATGAAGCTCTACATTCTCCCCCCCGCACCCTTTAGGGTAGACGGTTCTGCTGTGCCTGGGAAGGTGGCCTTTATACTGACGGAGTTTTATCTAGGAACATGGCATCCCCTGGGACGTGTCACTGGTGGCACTCTTTACCCCGGCTTAATGGTCACCAGCGGTGTCATCTATAAACTCCTCCGACTTCTCGCTCTTCCCGTCGATATTCGAAACGTATGCGTTTTACTTGCTCCCGCCTTCTCTGGCCTGACAGCCCTGGCCATGTACCTCCTCACTACAGAGATGGCTCCCTCTCCATCAGCCGGTCTTTTAGCCGCTGCCTTTGTCGGAATTGCGCCAGGTTACATCTCCCGTTCCGTGGCTGGAAGTTACGATAACGAAGCAATTGCCATCTTCCTTCTCGTCTTTACATTCTTCCTCTGGATCAAGGCTGTGAAGAACGGATCGATCATGTGGGGTGCCTTGACAGCTTTGTTCTATGGGTACATGGTGTCTGCCTGGGGTGGATATGTGTTCATTACCAATTTGATTCCTCTCCATGTCTTCGTCCTCATTTGCATGGGAAGGTATACATCCCGTCTATATATTAGTTATACCACGTGGTACGCTCTTGGAACCCTAGCCAGCATGCAAATTCCATTCGTTGGTTTCCTACCAATCCGCAACAGTGACCACATGGCAGCTCTTGGTAAGTACGGTTGGTACCCATGCGTACTGGATTCTACTAACCATTGGGCTAGGTATTTTTGGCCTCCTTCAAATTGTTGCCTTTGTGGAGTTCCTGCGTGCTCAGGTTCCCAGCAAACAGTTCCAGACTGTTCTTACTAGCCTTGTCCTCTTGGTTTTCATCGTGTCATTTGCTGGACTGGTACTCTTGACGGTCTCAGGAGTCATTGCACCATGGAGTGGACGATTCTACTCTCTGTGGGATACTGGCTACGCAAAGATTCACATCCCCATCATTGCATCCGTCTCAGAGCACCAGCCTACCTCCTGGCCAGCTTTCTATTTTGACTTGAACATGATGATCTGGCTCTTCCCACCAGGCGTATACATGTGCTTCTACAGACTCAAAGATGAGCATGTCTTTGTTATTATCTACGCCGTCCTAGCCAGTTACTTTGCCGGAGTCATGGTTCGATTGATGTTAACCCTTACCCCTGTGGTATGCGTTGCTGCCGGACTGGCCCTGTCGCAGATATTGGATGTCTATTTACGTATGGACTCCCCCAATCCGGACGCCAAAAAACAAGGATCCGGCGATAAGTCAACTCAAGGAGGCCTACGCATTGCTCGCAATAAGGTTGTGGGTATCTACTCCAACTTCTCAAAGCTAGTCGTGTCAGGAACTGTTCTGGTCTATCTTCTCTTCTTCGTTGCCCACTGTACCTGGGTCACCTCCAACGCTTATTCCTCTCCCTCTGTCGTGCTAGCCAGTAGATTACCCGATGGTAGTCAATTTATTATTGATGACTACCGTGAAGCGTACTACTGGCTTCGACAGAATACCCCTAAGAATACCAAAATCATGGCGTGGTGGGATTACGGATATCAAATTGGAGGTATGGCAGATCGACCAACCTTGGTTGACAACAATACCTGGAACAACACCCATATTGCTACAGTTGGTAAAGCAATGAGCTCTAGTGAAGAAGTCAGCTACCCTATCCTACGACAGCACGATGTGGACTACGTGCTTGTTGTGTTCGGAGGTCTACTAGGATACTCTGGAGATGACATCAACAAGTTTTTGTGGATGATCCGCATTGCTGAAGGTATCTGGCCTGAAGAGGTCAAGGAACGAGACTTTTTCACTGATCGCGGAGAATATCGCGTGGACGAGCATGCTAGTCCAGCTATGCGCAACAGTTTAATGTAAGTATCACTGAGGTGACTTGTACCAAGGCTTGCCTTTTACTAACAGCTACTACTAGGTACAAAATGTCCTACTATAACTTTCACAACCTCTTTCCTCCCGGCCAAGCGCAAGACCGTGTCCGTGGTGTCCGACTTCCCTCTCAAGGGCCTCAACTAACCACGATCGAGGAGGCATTCACCAGTGAAAACTGGATCATTCGAATTTATAAGGTAAAGGATCTCGATAACGTAGGCCGAGACCATGGAACTGCAGCTGCCTTTGAAAAGGGCCACAAGAAGAAGACTGCTGCTAGCAAACGGCGAGGAAGGCCAGTGCTGCGAACGGAGTAAACTAAACTGCCATTTTGATGAAAAGTGCGTATCTAGTTTTATCGGGGGTTTCCCATTCTTCCAGCGGATTGTGTTATATAGAACTTTTTATCCTAGGTATCTACTGGAGCATCCATTTCATGTTATTTTTCTGCATTCCAATATTATCGATGAGATGTTTGTAGATTGATAAGAATTGCTCTTTCTTCCCCTTTTTGTTTTCTTTTATCTTATCGGAGATGACGTCGTAGGTTTTGTATTACATAATCGCTAACATCGAGCCACCTTTCAATGAACTTGGAGAAGCCGAAATACATCCAGCCCATCCTGTTTGATATAGGATTTGATAACTAGGTAAGTTGACATTGCTGTGCTGTCCGGCGTGCGATTGCTGACTCTTGCATTGGCTATCTATGTAGAGCTAATGCGCATCCGCCAAGTCACTCTTTTCCCAAACAAACATGGCTTCTTGTCAATAGATTGATCAAACACGTCGAGACGAACAACCTCTGCAAATCATTCCTTTCTTTTTACATAGGTCATGCTTCAGGTGCTAAAATAGGTTGTGGCCTGACCCATTGATAGTAACCGAGCGAACGAGAAGTTACTCGCCTTAGCTTCGTTGGGAATATCTTTTGAAACATGCGACATCGCACACTCACAGCTCTATTAGCTGGCGCAAGCTTTGCGTTTGCTGCCCACAAGCCATTTAGCATACAGGATGATGTGCTAGCCAACCCTCAGGTATGCATCAATACTATTTGTTGGAAGGAATTATGATCGAAGAAACACAAGCTTCTAACAAGTGCCGCTCGTCTTAGTTCGAGGTAGTCTTCCCTGATGAGTATATACTAGAATCAGACGCACAACTACGGCTTGTCAAATCCCAGTCAAAGCATAAGGATGCTACAAATACACCTTCTCAACCATCGGATGCACCGAATATCGTTTCTCAGGACGAGAGATCCGAGCTATCAGAACAGGCGCCACTTCAAGGAGAATCAGAAGCTGATGATGAGGAATTGATGAAAGATGAGGATGATGTATCAATCGATTCTTATCATGAAATGGTTCTGGATGGCCAGCGGTTTCTTTGTGGAATTCCAAGTGTAACACCCACCGGAAAGGATAATACATCTACTTCTACACCTAACCCAGAAGACGAGGCACTTGAGCTGGCAAGGGCAACCAACCGGGGCCTTGAGCTGCTCAGTGACCTGGAAGGGAAATGTCTGTATTACGCTGCAGGCTGGTGGTCATATTCCTTCTGCTATATGAAGGAGGTACGGCAGTTTCATGCACGAGTTCCCGGGCAAGGGGTTCCTGTCTATCCGCCGGCAGAAGATCCGGACTCAAAAACCTACGTCCTTGGAAGATTCCAAAAGAATTCAGAACGTGGCCAGCCTACGGCGGCCTCTACTGAGGTGGCTGCGTTGCAAACCAAGGGAGAGTCGTGGTACTTGGTGCAATATCTCGAACGGGGTACGATTTGTGATTTGACAAGGAGACCCCGTAAGATTGAGGTGCAATTCCACTGCCATCCACAGTCTCCGGAGCATATTGCATGGATTAAAGAGGTTACCACATGTTCTTATGTCATGATGGTCTACACTCCAAGACTATGCAACGATGTGGCATTCCAGCCGCCGCAGGTAGAGAAGCCGAACAGCATAAAGTGTCGGGAGATTATATCACCGGAGCATGTATCCACCTGGGAAGCGGCTCTTGCCTCTAAGAAAGAACGTGCTAAGAAGGAGCTGGTCGAAGCTACAGATGAGCCTTTCGCCACAGTTGGAGACATCCAAGTTGGTGCTATGAAAACGGTAGGTAAGGATGGGAAGCGAATTGAAAAGGACCAGTTCGGATTTGGCGGAGAGCCAAAGGTCAAGGTCGTGGCAAGAAGCGAAGGAGGCAAGGTGAAGGTCCTATCAAAGGAAACACTGAAGAAGCACAAGGTGACCAGCGAGAAGTTCGAGAGGTTGAAGCAGGAATTGGACGAAGCTGCAGATGGTGAAGATTGGAGACTGGAGGAGATATCTACAAGCAGGGGAGAGGGGCTTCGGGCGATCATTGATGATCCATTCGATGATGTTGGAAGAGAGGAGGAAGAGGGAGAAGGAGAAGGAGGCCCAGACACCCAAGCCCAGAACGAGGGAAAAGCAGACAAGGACACGTCCAAGGAGACTAGCCCCGAGGACCAGCAGCAGCAGAAACAGCAGCAGCAGACGAAGAAGAGCACGAAGAAGCAACAGCCAAAGTCAAACAAAGTACGGATGCTGCGCAAACTACAGGGACAAGCAGCGTCAGATGAAACTGCGCCTGAAGCTGGTAGTGATGAAACGTACAAAACCGATAGCAAAGTGGCAAAGGCAAAGAAGGAGAAGCTCCACAAGACTGACAAGACAGGCAAGTCTGATAAGGCGGAAAAGAAGGAGAAGGACGAGAAGGACGAGCTGTAGTAATTGATATCTTATGGCCGTTGCTGCGCCGGCCGTCCCCCTTTTTATAGACATCGATCCATCGCCCATGTTTAGGTAATCTTCTGTATTAGCGCTGTAAAATACCACAATACACCACGTTTAGCCCCTGTATTGCTGTCACATAAAATACGCCATCCAGTTCGCCCAGCCTGGAAGTGCGAACGTCGAGAAACATCGGCGAACCTCGAGCGAGCGTCTTTCTCTGCAACTAACTATACGAACGACCGGCCGGCGAACGCTGCACCAGCATCAATCAGACCGACAGACTCGCTGCAACTGCGTTGTGTCTCCCTGCCCTGCCCGATTCCTGCGCCTGCGCCTGTTGGCCCTGCTCGAGGACACCTAAATACCGAGTCTCCCGCACCTGAACAATCCCCCCCCTCACCACACGCAGCTGTCTGGAGCATGCAGTGACGGCTTCTTTCATACGACTCCGGCTGCATATTTCTCTGCTATCGTCCATTTCTTGTCTCTGCAGATTGGTTTCAAGAGCTGCTATCTGTCTTACTCGGCCTGCCCTGGTTGTCTACCTACCGAGAGACACCGCCGTTAACGTGCATTACGTATTGCCCAGACCGGATTCCAAAGGGCTGCATATACCTGTTTACACCCACGAGGGACCAGATTAAACGCGCTACAGAAGAGGAGGATACACAAACCTTTGGTCATCGTCGTGGGAGGTGGTCAAGATGGGCTTTGAAGGTGTCTACACTGCTGTGTACGACTACACACCACAAGGAGAAAATGAGCTAGCATTTGCCGAAGGTGACTTGCTGTACATACTGGATAAGTCCTCGGACGACGGCTGGTGGAAAGCAAAGAAGAAAACCGCCGAGTTTGAATCCGAAGAGCCCGTGGGACTGATCCCTCACAACTATGTCGAGAAGGTGAGCTCTCCCTTCCCCCTATTGTTCTCTGATTCCCGTCTACGTTGGATACTGGTTCTCGTTGGAAAATCTCCTGAATTTTTTACTAACTGTGTTACCCTCTACTATGGCTACAGGCACAACCAATCCAACGAGCAAAATCCATCTACGACTATACGCGACAAACGGATGAGGAGGTGTCGTTTGCAGACGATGTTCATATCTTAATCTTTGACACCTCTGACCCAGACTGGACTCTGGTCCAGGTAAATACCGAGTATGGATTCGCTCCGTCGAATTATATCCAGGTGATAGGCGATATTGAAGCTCCCGGAGCAGACGCTGCAGCTTCTCCAGCTGTTGCGGCCCAAGAAGAAACCAGATATGCTGAGCCCGAGCCGGAAACGCAACCGGAGCCGGAGCCGGAACCCGAACAAGAAGCGCCTCCTGCTCCTCAAGCCTCAAAACCACCTGCTGGTCCTGCCGCAGCCCTCGCCGGAATACTTCACAACCAACAACCAGGCGAATCTCGATCAATCCCTGCTCTTCCATCTCGTGAACCTCAAGCGGCAGCGCCGGCGGTGGAGCGCGCGCATGAAGATCACGAAGATGAAGCCCCTGCTCCTGCCCTTCCGCGCCGTCCGCAATCCCAAGAGGAATCTCCAAGAGAACATTTGCCGTCGCCTAAGGAATATCGACGTCCTCCGTCCCCTAGAGCCCATCTGGACACGTCAACAGGCTACTCCCGAGATAGATCTCGTGGGCGATCCCCTCACGATTCTCTCAAGGCAGAATCAACAGGTGTCCAACCTTCTCCTCCTTATAGCAGGTTGGCCCTTCGAGATGACATTTACCCCCGGCACACATCGACTTCACCTTCCGGATACCACATATATAATATCAGTGAAATGATATCGATCATGGGAAAGAGGAAGAAGATGCCGACGACACTCGGAATCAATGTTGCAGCTGGAACAATATTTATATCACCAGAAAAGTCAGAGGACGGTCCTCACCAGGAATGGACTGCTGAGAAACTAAAACATTACTCTATCGAGGGGAAGCATGTGTTTGTCGATCTTGTCCGGCCCAGTAAAAACATCGATTTCCATGCGGGAGCCAAAGATACTGCACAGGAGATAGTGGCTGCTCTTGGTGAAATCTCTGGCGGATACAGGGCCGAAGGGCTGAGAGAGGTCATCGCAGCTGGCACCAGCGGCGCCAAGAAGAAGGGAATCATTCTATATGATTTCGTTGCCCAAGGTGAAGACGAGGTTTCTGTGTGTGTTGATGATCAAGTCGTAATCCTGGACGACTCGAGATCTGAAGAATGGTGGATGATCCGACGACTAAAGAATGGAAGGGAAGGCGTTGTTCCTAGCAGCTACATTGAAATAACAGGGGTTGTGGACTCTGGATTGTCCGGCGTAACTGCTGGGATGTCGTCTGTTGAACAGAACAGGCTTGAAGAAGCACGTTTAGCTAAACAGGCAACCCGCTCCTCAAAGAGACAAGACTCGGATGGGACGGGGTCCATAGAGGTAGGCCCAGGTGTGAAATTGCCGCGTAGACGGAGCAGTCTTGGAAGAATTGATGGTAACGAACAATCACAGCGCCAGAGACGCGAAAGCAAATCATCAAAATCAAGTATGTCCAGTCATACTCTTTACCTTCGTGTACATTTCACTAACGTCCTACAGAGCCGAATCCCGCAAAAACGAGAAAATGGACGGACAGATCTGGCACTTTCACTGTTGTTGCCGAATTCATTGGCCTGGCAGATGGCAAAATGCACCTTCACAAGCAGAATGGCGTGAAAATTGCAGTCCCAGTGTCCAAGATGTCCATTGAAGACTTGGAATATGTTGAAAAGGTCACCGGTGAGTCTCTCGACGAAGATAAGCCACTATCTGATATCCGCCGCCGCAGCCAAATGGGAAACGAGCGCCACAAAGTTGTCGGTGCTTCCATAAAGAAGGAGCCCGAATACGACTGGTTCGACTTCTTCTTGAGAGCTGGAGTTGGGCCTCATCAGTGCGAACGCTATGCAAGCAACTTCACCAAGGACTCAATGGACGAATCGGTCATCCCAGATATCACTTCGGATGTTCTTCGCACCTTGGGCTTAAAGGAAGGTGATATAATAAGAGTGATGAAATATGTCGATGAGAAATACAAGCGGAAGGCCAAGGGAGGCCGGAACGTCACATTCGCGGATGGTGAAGAAGAGCCTGCCAGTGGAGGTCTGTTCTCCGGTCCTGGCGGTGCACTACGAAATAATACCCGCAAGGGACGTCCTGCCCCAGCAGCTCAAGCCAGTGACGTAGTTGATCCAAAAGCGTTTGCTCCAAAGGACAAATCCGCGTCTGCTGATGGAAAAGATAAGGAGAAAGACGGACCTGCAGGATTTGAGGACGACGCATGGGAGGTCAAGACACCATCCAAACCTGCGGCTTCAACCGCCCCATCCTCTGCTCCAACTACTGCTGCAAGCCAGCCAGCATTGACCGGCGCTATGGCAGATCTCTCTTTACTTCAAACCCCCTTGGAACCCACGAAAACTGCTCCAGCTCCTACAACCAAGCCAGCCGAGCCGGCAATTACCCAGCCTCCAGCGACTCAAGCACCGCCGGCAGCACAACCCCAGAAACCAGGTGCAAACCCTCAGTTCTTTACACAACTTGGCCAGCCTCAGATGCAGGCTATTGCACCGCAGATGACTGGCTACGTCCAACCCCAACTGCAGCCCCAGCAAACTGCTATGCCACCACGACAACGGCCTCAGCCTCCTGCTACAGCAGTTGGTCAAGGATTCCTCACTCCTCCACCACCCCCTAGACCACTCTCTGCGCCCAATAACCCTCCAAACGGCTTTGTAACGCAGCCGCTACAACCTCAACTCACCGGCATCCCGTCCACAGCTCCGCACATAGCCCCTCCAGGCCACAGCCTAGCAGAACTTAATCAACAGCGGTTCCAGCAACAGCAGTTGGTGTCTCAACCAACAGGATTCCCTTCTCAGGTTCCGGCGATGACTGGACAGTTTGGACCCCAAATGCCACAGCAACAACCCTTCATGAGCTCTCAGCAGTTCATGGGTGGTCAGCAGCAACCTTTCCAGACCACTTCGCCTGTGCAGCAGCAAACGTTCCCAGCTTTGGCTCCTCAGCCCACAGGTTACGCCCAGTTTGGACAACAACCACCGCCACCATTGCCAACCGGTTCAATCAACTCTGTTCTTCCTCCTCCCCTCCAGCCCCAGCGCACAGGTGCAAACGGTTTTGGGGTGCCTCCAACAAGTTTCACACCATCACCACCGCCAATTCCACAGCAACCTGCAGCTGCTCCACTTCTACCTCAAAAGACAGGCCCTGCTCCTCCTGTACGTTTCGGTGTCCACAAAGATGCTCCGAAGAAGATCATGCCTCAGCCAACTGGGAAGGCAAATCTTGCTCAAGCTAGTACGTTATCCTAACCCTTGGTTATGTATGATATTTACGATGATTTTGACTAACCTATTGCTTAGCTCCATCCAATCCGTTTGGTTTTGCCTAGAACGGTCCAATCCATCTGAACTTTTGATCTATTTACGAATGACTCCACAAAGAATAACGATATCATTTGCGCACATCCTTATCTCCCACCAGCATCCGTCTCCCTAATAAACAACTTCTCCATCCCTGGTTTAGCAAGAACCCATTCTTACATATTTTGCTCGAAAAGAGTTGTTCAATTGCCATTTGGATCCATACCGCTGCGTAACCTGCGGCTTTTCATTTGTTTTTAAACACCCCGTCCATCCTCCTCCCTCATCGAGGCATCCCCATACCTGTCTGACTTGACCTTTCTTGTGCCCATAGTTTGTTTCAACATGATCCTTTCCTCTGTCTCTCAGGCCTTTTGCATGATTCAGCTCAATCATGCCAACTAGGATAATCACTTATAGACAGCATTTTCTCCGTCACAAGCTCTTTTCTTTGTTCATTCTTAACAGATAATTGTTTATCGGGCTCATTTACCTTCTATCGTTATACCTAGCTCTTTCAATTTCGCCTATATATTCCTCAAATTTAGTGTTTGAATGGTTTATGAACATTTCTGCAAATTTTCTACAACTATTAGCATGCTTGTTTGTCTCCCCAATCAATCCCAACAAACATTTCATATCCCATCCGCCATGACTTCTTACCATATACGAACTTGAAGCCGAATATATTTGCCACGACCTTGCAGTATTTTAGCAAAATTCTACCCAAAATCCGGTTCTTCTCATATACTTCTAATCTTCACCTTGTCAAGGTGCAGCAGTAAAGTCTCATAGCATAACTGAAGGCGTATTCTCATTGATATCAGGGCCACATAGCATCATTAAGCGTACAAGTTTTCCAGCAAGGCCAACTCCCTAAAATAAAGTATATGAACAAGAAATACTCAAGAACAAGCTGGCTAAGGGGATATCTTGCAAACAGAAAGGAATCGAAAGTAAACAACAGAAAACATAATGAGAGAAAGAAGAATGAGTGCACAAAAACGTCGAAGAGACCCGTTTACATCAGCTGGAAGACAAGGTTAGAAGCCAATTCTCCAGTCTTATTCAGGAGATCACGGAAAGTCAGTGGAGCATCTCCTTCTGCATGATGCACTTCTGGTCTATAAGTAGCTAGCTGCCTCACTTTGCAGGCAACGTAGTGAGTTGTGAGTTTGCGAAGTCGGTTCTCCCTCTCGGACGGGAGATCTGCGCTAGCATCCAACGAAGGAAATCTCGGGTCATATGCCTTCGTGTTCTTGAATGTATAGTGTAGCAATTCTAATACATAGGGTATAGTGCCGTTATCCCCATAGCCATGGCCAGATGCTCGCAGAGGAAACGAGACCAGTTCTCGATGGAGCTTGGTAAGGGCGAGCTGGGCAAGGGCTGGAACGAGGTAGCGGGAGGCGAATACATAGATTTTGGCATGGTATAAGATGTAAGGGACGTCGCGGGAGTCACTGTTTGCTTGTGAATGGCTTAATGGAGCGGTCCTACGTTCGTACTGTGGGTACTGAATAGCGGTGAATTCATCCCATAGAGACACACCAGCGGGTCGGGAAGATGGAAGGGGGAAGAAGGGTTCTCCTCTAACAGAGCCTTCGGACTTGGATGTCTCGAGTATTGACTCTGCTTGAGTTGCCTGGAATTCAGGCCAATCGCCAGACTCTGTGTTTTGGGTTTCTTCCGGCTTTTCTTCAGGTTTCTCTTTAGGCTTTTCTTCTTGCTGGAATGGAGCCACTGCAGTGACGGCCTCAGTATTTTTCTCTTCAATCACGGCAATATCTTTAACATTCTCTTTATTCTCCGTGGGCGGAGGAGTTTTAGGAGGCGTGAGAGTGTTTGCAGCAGGACGCTCTTCAACTACTTTTTTCTTTGCCTTTTTCTCTTTCTTGCTCTTCTTGCCCTTCTTTCCGGCGTCAGCGGCTCCCTTTGAGTCATCTTCCTCTTCCTGGGGCTGGGGCTGGGGCTGGGGCTGAGGGTCCTCCTTCACAACAAGTGCCTGAGGCTGGACCACGGCGGGCTCTTCCTTTGGAAGATCATCTTCGTCATCCCAGATGGCGCATGAATCCTCTGGCCGTGGTGCTTTTGGAGAGGAAGGGGGCGATGGTGCCGGCGGCGGTACATGGAGGTTCGCAGATGGGGAGCAAGGTTCTCCATATTCCGAAGACTCTGGTAGGTCGGATCTGGTCTGACGAACGGGAACGGTATAATCTCCGGTGTATGCAAATTCGCAGAAACCAGTGAAGGTCTCAACATGTTCGTCCTCCAGGACTGCGATACGGTGCCGGGATTCGCGAGTATGGCCGTTGTTCATCAGCCCATCGAGCCGGGGAGAGACATGTTTGGCAAGGCCAGATTGGATGGTGACTTTTGAGTGGCCGGGTCCGATCAAGAAGGTGAACTGGGGAGAGTTGATAATACTGTTTGTCCAGAAGAAGGCCACGGCTGGTCAGCGGACTATTCCATTTGGTATGCTTCTTCCCCGTGTAGAGGGTATATTTCTTCAATGGCTTGGAAGAATCGCCATCACACAAATCCCTATAGACAGCCTAACCGCCGGCTGAAATAAAAGCGTACCTTCTGAAATCTGGGCCTGGAACCGAAGCCATTTTGCGCGAGCGTCAACAGAGAGCGCAAACTCCCGATTCCAACAGTCAGCGGCGCGTAAAGTAGTTATCGATATTCGAATGAAATATCAGTGGAATATTAATGGAATATCGCACAAACGCGACTTTAAAAATTTTTTCTCAACAGGCGATGGTCCGAGTGAGAAGAAAAGAAAGCATGCAGCGGCGGCTTTCCCCTTCTTATAAAAACTTCGGATCATGGCCCCCCGGCCGGCGCAGTTTCGAATGCTCCTTGAATACCGCAAGGTAGGCGCATAAAGGATGCTGGCGCTTCAGGATCTTTGCTCCTGCATAGAGAGCTCTCTGCCGCCCGGCCTACGTGTAGGTCAGCGACGCAGAAGACCGTCTCGAACCAGCCTCGAGGCTGCAGATGCGAGTCTCAGGTTGGTAAGGTCTCTCGCAAAGCCCACAGTAATGCAAACCTCGTCTCTCTCCATGCAGCGACGGGCCATGCAAGGCCGGAGACGGACAGACTTGCGGTGTCAATCCACTAATGGATGTGTGCCCAATGGGCGCGCTATTGCTGCAGCCATACCTTGCCGTATCTTGGCTGACTCGAGGGTATGGATTCTCGAAACTCCGGCAGGCAGCAAGCTGAGCTCCAGCTAGAGAACATGAGTTAGCTCGAGGGACAAATCAAATCCGTTTTGACGGTGAAGCTGGTTAATCGGGTATAGGTACTGATGGGCGGCTGCGCGGCGGTGGATAACTAGAAGGCCAGGCAGCACGCTTCAAAGCACTGCATAACAATTCAGCATGCCAGGCGGCCAGGCCAGCCTGTTTCGGACCGCCCTTACTGCCATCCATCCGGTGTTAGACACCTCCATGTAAGATGTCGTGAAAGTTGAGAAGAGTGGGCGTAGTTTGGCACGATGAGGTGTTGTTATAACAAGCATTATCAGACTGGCAAAGGCAATTGATACGTCATACCCACTATATAGCTAATCTACAGAGAAATTGACAACTTCGCAGACACTGGAATTATATGGCATAAATCCTGTATTCTGGCTCTATTCTAGACATATGTATACATTCTAGCTAAAAAAAAGTACAATTATTTACAAGGCCGGTTTCGTCCAATCTATATCCCATAATCATCGACATATTCCTCCGGCATCTCAATGAACCAGCCTGACACTCCTAGTTCCCGGTTCCCATTCTCTCAGTCCAGCTCGAATCGTGTACCAGAATTTAAGCTTAGAACACAGCTTCGTAGCAGTGTCGATATCGCCCGACTCAAAAGCCTTGCCCATTTCGTTCACCGTCTGCGCAATCCGCTCTTCATTCTCCACCTTTAGGTCGGCAATTACCTTCTCATCTTCTGCCTCCTCAACGGCTTCTTGCACCTCCATCACCTGCATTAGGGTTTCGGGGCTTTGCGGGTGTTTGTTGGCGCCATCCTCGGCTGTGACGTCGATATCATACTGGGAGGCGAGAAGGTACTGCGCGCGAGCTAACGGATCCCCTAACGCACGGTAAGCTTCATTGATTCGGGACGATAGGGCTTCTGCTTTTCGCTTTGCTGGCCCTTCGGGAAACTTGTCCGGATGTGCAAGACCCTGGAGGGAGAGGAATTCCCGGCGGAGGTCGGGCAGCGAAATGTCGAATGTACCCTTTGGCGGAGGGCCTTTCGGCAAAGTTTTGGGGAATATAGTGTAGTGTGTTGTAATATCAGGGACTCTTGTCGCCAGACCTGGCGATATGTCTTCGGAGGTTGGTTGCGAGGCAGGTTCGGCTCGGTTGGGAGCAGCTCTCGGTAGTGGGCTCTGGAACGACAGGGAGCGTAGTGTGTTGAATTTCCGAGACTGAGAGTGTGTGAGTCGTCTGTATAGTCCGTTTTGACAGAGAAGACACTGTTCCTTGTCGCGTTGAGCAATCCTGCTATACGTTTGGCCGAACGGCTGTCGAGCAGGTGTCGGTCCGATACGCCGGAAGACGGCGGAAGAGGGAATACTCTTGTGCATAGTATACAGTATGTGTGGAATGATAAAGCAAAACGATATCTGCGATGTTTTGCTCTGGTAAAAGGGTATAGCTCGAGGCGACGTGTATTTGTTGATGGCCGGCGCTTTTTTGGTTTCAACTTCTGGATTTTGAGCAAGCAGCTTTTTTTATCTGATGAGAAACTGGATCTGATAAGATAAGATAAATTGATTTATAATCGAAATGTCTGCTACGTAATCCAGTCAACTGGAGTTCGCACTATATTTAATCCGTGTATTTAACAGGCAGCCAATCAAAATTCCGCTTTATCTTTATCTTTATTTATTTGTTTTGACGTCAAGTCTGGCAATTATCAGATCGTGCTTGGAGTTTCCTGCTATACAATGAATAGACCTCGCTTATCGAAATGCCATGTCTTGTTATTAGAGCCCATATCTAGGGATATGGTATGAATAACCTTGTGCGCTTGGCGTATTCAAACTGGATTCATGGGCTGCTGGCTACATTCGTTTCGTTCAGTGTTTCGGATGAAACGCAATGAAGGAATATGTTGATCATTAACTCACCTACAGAGACAGATACCCATAGATGAGCTACTTGGAATAATTTATTTTGATGCAGTCTATGTTCCGTCACATTTCTAATATACTTGTTAATTACTAGGAATGGGATACAACCATACAGCTGGGATCATGCATACCCCGCAAGTTATTACTATATAACCCTTCCTCAATACCCGGGCTATGCCCTCTCTCAGACAAGAGATATCAGAATCATGCCTTTTGCAAACTCTGATTTAATCGTTGTTACTGGTGCTAATGGCCATGTTGCACAGCATGTTGTATCACAACTGCTGTCATTCCACGCCCCGGTCCGCGTACGTGGGACAGTCCGATCCTCGACGGTGGCTCAGAAGCTCTACGCCGCATTCGATTCCTTTGTTTCCAGTGGAAGACTTGAGATTGCCATTGTACCCGACTTGACCGTGGATAGCGCATTTGATGATGCCATCCAAGGCGCAACATATGTAGCTCACATCGCATCTCCCCTGAACATGTCTCCAGAAAACGTTGAAAACGACCTCCTTATGCCCGCCATCAAAGGTAACATATGCATCTTGGAATCAATAATGAAAAAGTCAGGAATCAAAGCGGTCGTTATAACTAGCTCTTTCGTTGCGGCGTTTGATGCACGTCATGGCTTCCGTGAGGGATACACCTACTCTTCTGCGGACTGGAATCCGATTAGCTATGACGAGGCTGCGGACCCAAGGCAGGACATGAGTCAATACCCGGAAAAGTGGCGACCCTGGATAACCTACATGGCTTCGCGAAAGCTTGCAGAGAAGGCTGCATGGGATTTCTACCGGAAACATCAACCTACATGGGCTCTAAGCACACTATTACCGTCGTTCATTGGAGGCCCATTCGTTCTACCGTTGACAAAGGGTGCTGGTAGTTTAACTTTCAGCACAAGCTTGATCTGGAGAACTGCACTGGGGAGTGAACCGTTATTCCATAATGACTTTCCTCACTGGGTCGATGTGCGAGACGTTGCAAAGGCACATATCCAAGCCTTGATAACCCCTGCTGCGTGGGGGAGAAGGTTAATGTTAGGCCCATGGCCGTTACTTTTCTCGGATGTAGGAGGCTTCGTTTTTGGCTCGATCTACAATCACAAAGCATAGCTAATCACTTTTTCCAAAGATCGCCAGAATTGTCCGGAAACACTACCCAGAAATGGGCCCATCTAGGGAGAAACAACAGGTGACAGCTGTGGCTGAACTTCGTTACAAGTGGAGTCTAACTGATTTGATACAGGTACATCACTATAGTATTGACTCGGGGTCATCGTTGTCTATTCTAGGAATGGATTCCTGGATATCGCCCGAACAAATGATCGTTGACTTGATAAAGCAGCTTAAGAGGACCACGCTCAGTGATGCATTATGAGCCTGTTTCTACCCTTGCTGGGCACATGTACTTGATTAAACCATCTCTAGCTCTGACACCAACACCTAAAACAATATACAAGAGCCTCCACAGCCATTTATCTTACCTAGATACACATTAGCCAGCATAAGACCATCTGTACTCGGGGCTGGTATGTGGGAAATCTCACTATGTGATGCATCAGCTGCAGAGTCACCACTACCGAGCATGCCTTGAGTAGCCCATAAGCACTACTCCGGTTCATGTGCAATAATTCAAACGAACAAGGCTGTGGTAACATTGAAACTTCAAGATCGCTTAACCAGCCAGTTGACACTCACTAAATCCGTTGGTTTGACGCTCAAGTGAAAGCTTTGGCTGGGCATTGGATGTCCAATATTACAACCAGCCACCAGTGTCTGACCATAACCGCACTGGTATTGAACCCTGACTATTATACTCGGTATGCCTTGAGGTATCTCAACAGAAACGGGTGACTGTCCACAAGCATCTCTAGAACCGACGCATAGCTGTGACCAAACGTTGGAGACGGCAAAGGCTGAGGCTCAACCCTGTTTCAACATGAGAATCCTTATCCCGTCGACCCTCACAGGCCTGGATTTGAAACGCCTTGGTAACAATTTTACAAAGTAAATTAACAGAGACAGTTATGGGCATATTTTCCCAGTGATGTAGCATGCTCTATTCCCAGGTATAACCTGTTAGATGCAACACTCTGATAAAGTATACTATTGAGTTATACCAGCGGCCTATTATACGGTCAAGGGCCCTGGCCCTGATATAAAATGGCCTGCCATGGGCGAAGAGCAAAAGCAGCCACTAGTTAGCTATTAGTTATTGGCCGATGGAGAAGCCCACCTCGCTGTCCTACCTGGCAATCCAGGGATTCGACATAAGCTAAACAATAAATAATAATATAGCTGCCTCGCTACAGTCTTCCTCCTGTGGCTGTGCAGCCAGAATCACCGAGAAGAAAAAAAAAAAAAAAAAAAAAAAGACAAGACGCAGACGTAATAATAGCGGACCAGTGATATATAATTATGCATGACAGTACGATACATCATGGCTCTCCCAAACAACCCCACAGCCCACGTCCAACCAGCTGTTTCAGGCCGGCCGGGCTCCCGATATATTTAAAGAGCTCCAAAGGGCGAGGTTCTCATGGACTCCTGTCGTGACGGGCGTGTACGACGCTGAAGGAAGGAAAATAAACAGGCCCATATTTCTATATTCATATCCCGCTTGCCAGCATCCCGAGACATTGTTGTAGCCCACGGCCTCTCACCGCTAATAACTAACCCATGGCTGCTTCATTCGAATTACGAGCTCGTAAATCAATATCGGCCTTCGAGAAGGCCAGCCTGGCGAAGCTAGCGTGGCTAAGAAAGAACCATAACGGGGTGATACAACAGGATACCCAGCCTCTGTATGAGCTCTTCTCCATTACAAGTGCTTTATATTTGCCCCCAAGACCTGGGAGATTGAGGATTATATGGAATAGACCTTTGTTCTAACAGTTCCTTATAGAAACATAAGCAAGCCATTCTCGTGCTGGGATGAATTACCCGTCGAACTAGTGGTCAATATATTCGGTCTCTGTCGACTCCAGGACCTAGGGAGTCTGCTTCTCGTTTGCCGGAAGTTCTGGTATCTTTTGCAGGTTCACGAGGAAGCCATCACCAGAGAGTACTTGCGTATTCGGCGGCATGGGACACTGCCGTCTCGAAAGCACAAGCCGAGCCATTACACAAGGGCGCCTGAAGATGATGTGATATTGCTATCGGACCTGTTCCCCCCGTTTGTTGAAGATACCAGTGGCCGTGAGCATTATTCTTTCAGGTATTTGGCGGACTTACGACGGAGGCAGGAAGTCTGCTCGAAATTATCTTATTACCTCGCCGACCATGTTCTGGACCGGTTCATGGAGGAGAACCCTGGCTGGGTAAAGTCCTTATCACATCTACCAAAACCGACGCAGCAGAAGATTATGGACCGGGGCAACGCCCTTCTTAAGTCGAAACTGACTCCTCTCATGCAAGTCAACACTTCCATTCTACGATCCATTTCCAGATGAACGTCTCTTTTGGCAAATAATCTAACACCTTCACTAGGTTTTATACGATGTATTTCTTGAAAAAGTATGATGAAGCACGGCTAGAGCTCCAGGATTCCCTTTATGAAGCATTTGAAGCTGGCAAGCTCCCCGTACCTGTCCAGCCCCGTGATCGGTCAATTATGTACCGCGCTCTTCAAACAAAGATACTCCAAGCCTACCCTTTCCTCGACTCCCAGGCATTAATATCAGCTCACCACTGTATCCGGTTACTAATATTTTCACTCCATCGCGTTCTTGTTGCGGAGACACCTGTCACTACGTCATGTGAGAAGTTCATTATCATGCTACTCTCTACCTCTGGTCTGGAGCGAGTAACGGAATTCTTTGCGGCTGAAAAGGGCGGAAGCAATCAGCGTGCCATGAGGAAGGAATTTATGCGCAAAACACAGCTGGACTGGGACAACTATAGGAACGACCCCAAGGCTCTGAAAGTGTTTGACGCATTGAGCGGTGATTGTCACTATCCGCCACTGATGACCGAGATATGGACTGGACCGGCAATAGAAGAGATCTCCAGGCGACAATTACTTATACAGCATCCCAATGAAGATTTTGTGACGCTGTGGAATGATGCACATATCAGCCTTGGCTGTAGTTATTGTGCGAGAACGAATGCGAAGATAAAGTGGCAGGCTTGATACATAAACCATCGAATTTGGCATGACGTAAAAATTGTTGTTTCTATTAGTTTTCTTGTTTTCCCCCCTTTTGTTGGGCGTTTATCTTGTTTTGATTTACTTATAGAATTTATGATACTCCATCCTACCGTAGGCCACATTGATAGTTATTAATGATATATCCTAGAACTTCTTTCAATCAACCTTTCCACTGGCCCCTTTTGTTGGAAAGACGGTGGTGCATTTACCTACCCGCAGCCATTCTGAGAGAATGGCGTAAAAGAATAAATTGACTAGTGCTGTGTTTACGTTATTTCTATATCTGGTTATGGGTGTCGGTTAAGCTGAGCGGAACGGGCCGTAATTAGGCGACCCGTACGGGTAATCAAAACCCGAACAGCCGCTCGGCTATGGTCATGTTATACTTCTACATAATTCTGAGTGCTTCTACATTCTACCCATGCTTTATATCTTGTCATCAAATCTTGATAAGATTATTAGATCTATTTATTATTTTGTTTGGCCCAGGGAACACTACAGAGTGTGAGGGTTGTAGAGTGGGAGCGACCAAATGGTCCATCTTCCTGGACAGGAGTCACGGCGCAGTAGCTGCGTTTGGAACGCATCAGCCTCTAGTTAGGCTATTACCGCACAGTAGTGAAAGGCATCGCTTTCTCGTATGCATGCTCTTGATTGGAAATTCGGTATATACCACTTCCCCCCAAGAGATACATGCAGTTGGGCTTTCTGAGTTTTGTAACCACAGCCGGAACTTCAGCAACGTTTTATTCAATACCCCATAACTTCACAGTTCGATCGTGCCCGCAACTTGCTATCCACTTTGCATCGGTACTTATATCAGTGCTGAGAACATTTCCGGAGTGGCCTTGCAGCGATTTCACAAGTGACCAGTCATCCGCACTAAAGATGTTGACATTCTTGTCAAATCCACTGGAAACGAAGAAAGTTCCAGATTTTTTGGGCTGTGGAGGTTGGTCTGGTTGGTCCTTCGTTGGTGTGGGTGTTACATCCATCATATCCCCATTCTGGTCAAGTCCTGAAGTGGTTGGTAGGAGTGAGGCAGCATCGCTCCCCTTGTACCATCTTAGATCCGACACAACGCTCTTGTGTGCACCTACTCCACCGGTACCACGAACTTGCCGGAGATCCCAACACTTGACCCAGCCATCTCCTGATCCAGACAGAATACGATGTCCATCTATTCCCCAATCCAAGGCATATATCTCACGGATATGGCCCTCTAATATCATAACTGTTCGACCAGTGCGTAAGTCCCAGATACGTCCAATACTGTCAAGGCCACCGCTAGCCAGAAGTGAGCCATCAGTGTTGAATCCTAGTGCGTAAACTCCACGAGAGTGACCTTCTTGTAGGAGAAGTTCTTGGTTCGTTTGTACATCCCACAATCGCCAGGTGGTATCAAAAGATGCAGAGGCAAGGTATTTCCCTGATGGGTGAAATTCCACGCGACATACTCGGTCAGAGTGTCCAGAAAGTGTTCCAATAGAAGTATCTTTATCAAGGGACCAAAGCCTGATGTTCCCTTCAGCGCCTCCCGTAGCAATATTCAAAGACGATTCGGAGACATTTGATTCGGGTAGTGTAGCCCCTGGGAACCATGATATGCCACCAATTCGATCTGTATGTCCTCGTAGATTCGCCTTTTCCTCCAAATTCGGGACTGTAAGTAGCTTGACACCTCCACTCCAATTACCCGCAGCCACTATTTCTCCATTTGGGGAAAACCTGGTAATGCTCACGGGCCGGTCTCCAGCAATCTGAGAGCCATAAAGCTCAAAATGGCCGAGTTTCTCCCTTATTGCTTTTCTGTGCTTAACGTGTGTTCGAAGAGGTATGGTGGATTCGGCTTTTTGCCGTTCTACCCTTGCCTTTGCTCTGGGTATTGAATATCTTGCCATCTCTCTCCGTGCCTGGAGCAAATCCTGTGAGCCTTCAGTGTAGAATTCTTCCTCTTGGTCTTGGTCTTCCTCCTCTGCTTCCATCCCTCCCATGCCGACATCTTCAGCACCAGCTTCACCAGCCGCAGCCTGTTGTTCCTCCAAGTCCGCTAATACTTCTCTCAATCTGTCACGTCGGTCCGTAGAGTCTTCACCAAACAGGGTAATTGGATGGCCCAACTCCCGCAACCGAGCCTTTACTCGTCCATCGTCTGTAGGTACAGCAATAGCGGCTGCTCGTCGTTTTCGTTCGAACTGAGATAATATGGCAGAAGCTTTCTCGGGAGCTATTCCTGCAGCAGCGGAGGGAAGCTCGTAGTCATGGTCCACGGCTATTAAAGAGAGCTGTTAGTAAATGCGCGCGGATATCGAGGCACCGTGAAGGGAACATACGAATATTCGCGAGGTCTACTCCCATGTCCGTATCCTAATCATCTCAAATAAGACCGTAAATCAGTTTCTATCAATTGATCAATGTGGTGTCTGTCAGCCATGGCTCATTGCTTACCTCCTGCGCTTCCTCCACATAGGCGCGCCGTGCGGGATGCATGGCTCCCTGACTTCCAGACCAGATCCTAAAGCTATTCCGAGTATATTTGGCAAGCTGACGGCGGCGCAATCTCTCTGAAGGCAAACGGCAGCAGTGGGTTGAGGCTGATCGTGAGCTTTCTTTTGCGGCTGGCGTGAGATTTCTTCTTGGCTGCGGACGGAGGCGACTTTCATATATTTATTTCCGCGGTGAGCAGGACTCCTGGCAACCAACAACCAACGGCCAGGGTGACCACGCTCCTTGAAGACGGCCGGGAAATTTCCAGAGGGACTAAAATCTGAAGATCAGTCACTCAAGCTAAGGATTAGCCCTTGTTCATGCTGTGATACTTTCTCTCCGAATATTTTTACTATCGCCGAAACACCACTCGGCGCGCCTTTGGACTCCCCAACCGCGGGTTATACTGTGCAAATGCGCAGAGGAGAATCCGGCTACTGGACGGCTGCGGACTGGGAGGACAAGGGAAACTCGGGCGTATACTTCTGATGGCGACGGTGGCGCTCTCTTCAAGGGCTGCTTCGTGCCTTGTCCAGGTGCCACGATACGGTCTCTACAATATTAATATCCTGCCTCAAAGAACACCCCGAGTTTGCGTGACGACTGCGAGAAGAAAATACAACGGAGGCCGAAGGGAGTTCAGCAGTGGGAGTCCGCTGGAATCACGACCGAAGATATCCTTTCGCCTGGCCGTATCGTCTTCTGGAAAGGGGCGACGATTCAGTCCGGACAGGAACTTCTACAACTTCCACCCGCAGGTTCACGATGCGCTGGGAATACAAAGCCCGAATTACTATGACCGGAAAGCCAACAGGCCTGATAGCGGGGAGGACTCATTCTTCATCAGCAAGATCGGGTACGACAATGAGGCCTTTGCCTTTGGAGTGGCGGACGGAGTCGGAGGATGGAGCGAATCTGGCATCGATCCAGCGGACTTCTCGCACTCTTTCTGTGGACACATGGCTGAGACAGCCTTGAACTGGGAGTCTTCTCCTGAGAGTTTACGGGCTATGACCCTTATGCGACTCGGATATGAGAAAACACTGTTGGATAAGGCGGTATTTGCTGGGAGTAGTACCGCGTGTATTGGAGTTGCTCGGAATGATGGTTCGGTCCAACTCGCAAAGTATGTACTGCTCTTTTCATAACCTGTTGCTTGAATGCTAAGCTGACCACGCTTTACAGTCTCGGCGACTCTGGATCACTTCTCTTCCGCCTGGCTGCAGTTCACCATTACTCCGTCCCCCAGACTCATGATTTTAACACCCCATACCAACTCGCTGCCGTGCCAGAGTTGATTCGACGGCAGTCCTATCTGTTCGGTGGAAAACAGTTTGAAGACATGCCTCAAGACGCGGCAGTAACCAATTGCTCGCTACAACATGGAGACGTCCTGGTCCTTGCCACAGACGGGGTGTTTGATAACCTGAACAACCAAGAAGTCTTGAAGCTAGTAACTGCGCGGATGATGGCCACCGGGGCATGGACTGGTACCTCGGATATGGGCATCTCTGCGTCTGACAACCTAGAAGCTCTGACGAAGCCCGGTGGTTTGAAATTCGGTAACAACCGGATAAAACCCAAGAAAGCAATTGCTGCTTCTGAGGAAGCGGATCCGCAAGGCAAAGGGCATACTCTACAAGCCCTCTTGGCTGTTACCATAGCCGGAGAGGCTAAGATTGCCAGCATGGACTTTCGACGAGACGGGCCGTTCGCAAAAGAATACCAGAGATATCGTCCATGGGATCATTACCGGGGAGGCAAGCCAGATGATATCACTGTCGTCGCCCTGGTAGCCGTCGAAGAAGGCCGATCTTCTGCTTCTAACTCGTGAATTATATTATACACCTCGATACCCTTTTTCTCTTTGTCACCCAGCGCGAGGAATTTATATCAATCTATTTACTGCCGTCTTACCCATTGGTCTACAACCGACCAAAACCGCTTTGATTTCCTCTTTTGGGCCTCCCTTAGACTATCGGCTTTAATTGCATATTACGGGGCATCTTTTTTTTCATCTTCACTGTGTGAAGATGTATATTGCGTTTATGCTTTTCCTTTGTTTATTTATTCGGGCGGCAAGCTGGCCTTTGGAGACAAGATGATGTATAAAATATTATAATAGGTTTTTGGACCTCAAATAGAGACCGTTTTACAGACAATTTATGGCAAGAGACGAAGCCAATTTCAACAGCCTAATCATACACCAGGAATGCCTTCAATGTAGCCGATGATACCCCTTTAATCGTCAGGCCTATATGAGACAATCTTTCCCCATGTGTCTGCAGTTCCCCAGATACCCCTTCTCAGACAGCTCAACTGGACGATCTGTGAATTATCAACAAAGAGATTGACGTCGATGCCGAATTCACGAATATACCAACTAAACACTTTCGGGTCGGCGGCTACAAACAATAAATCAGTTCAGCTTGCTATGACAGAATATAGAAGAAGTCTTACCTTCGAACATGACCTTTTCCTGGGGCAGCTGCTTCATGATTTGCGAAACGACATCTGTCCTCCAGTTCGTGACGTTTTCAGTTATGGCTTTCAATCATGAGACGCTCAACTCCGGCATCAAGGAATTTTTTACCCAGGTTGATCAGCTTCCCTGGGTCACTTGTGCCAATAGCCTCAAGCTCACTAGTCGAGGTGTCTGTTATTCGCCAGTTAGACACTGTTTGTCATAGTTTCAAAAAGGGGAATACGTGCCTCCTCCGGCACCAAACTGGATTCCCAGCTCTGGCTTTGGTTTCAGACCATATGATTGCACTTTTTCGATGAGTCGTAGCCAGTCATCTTCCGGGATTGATAGAAAACCCGCAGACAATTCAACAACGTCGAATCTGTATGGACTTAGTTAATGCTGGGTTGACTAGCTAGGCCGGGACGGAAGAGTAATACCCAAGATCTTTGCATTTCCGGAAATACCTATCCAAAACGGTGGTATTATCTGGATGAGTTAGAAGATGTTCTGCCCATCCTCCCTGTTTTATCCAGTTAATCAAATGCTGTTTTACTAGATGAATGAAAAGGGGCGTACCGTCGAGACATAAGCACCATTCTCATGAGCAATGTCAATCAACTCTTTCAACTTGGCCTCGTGAAAGAGTGAGAACGATCCTATCAATATATCAGTATGAGTGAATTAGAGAAGATGCTCAGACCGGACCAACCTCCGGAGAACTTGAGTCCGTCGACATAGTCGCCCATCCTGTTCGGCTGTCAGTAATTTGGTATCTTGGGCATAGGTAGCGGCACCCTTACGTCTCAAATATATCAGAGAGGTATCTCTTTCCCATTACCTAGACCGAAAGTTAGCGAGTATCCAGAAGGTCAATATCTCAACCGGGGACCATACCGCATAATAAGGCCCTCGAATCTCCGTTACTCCTCTCTTCCTTGGCTTTGGAGGGAGGGCATTCGACTTTGCAAATCCCAGGCCCTGCTGCTTGTCTAGTAGAAGTGCCTTTGGCCCATGTCCGGCCGTACCTTTTGAGAGGGCAGATGAGGTAGAAAGGCCTCTCTGCAGGTGTCCCTGGGACTGGAGTACACAGCGTCTTAGCGCCTGTCTGGCTGTATAGAGTGATTTGGAAGACAGCATCTTGCAGTGAAACCAGATCTTCGCTCAGTATATAGAATAGAGCAGTTTCATATAAGTCTTAATATGTGTCAGAAGCCGTCTACTCTCTTTATCCTCCTGGTATTTAACTAATAGCTGTATCTTGGATAAGTTGTCAACATCATGATGTCATTGTTGGACACGGTGGATTTAGATAAGTCCGAGCTGAGAGACAGTCTATCTCTCTAGCTGTCGGCTCTTAAGCAGTAGTATATTATTCTTTTGCAGTCTTGTATCTTTATTGAGCCTTATTATATAGCTGCTGGCATCCATGGGCGTTCTATCAAATCTCCTATCAATTCTAGTATCGAGTCCATGTTTGACCTACCAAAGTCAAAGTATCAAGGCAACAATCCACACTCATAAATGATATATTTAAGTCCACCAAATAGCTCTAAATCATCTCATCACAAGTTATATTATCAGTATTCAATGCATATCCCGTGAATGATAAAGCTGTTTTTTATATATCTCCAATCTAGTTGATCTCAGCAATATACATATATATACAACTGTACAATGAACAGACACAGCAGCCAACTAGCAAATATTCCTCTACACTGTCTGTCATCCTCTTCTAGTTTTATAATTCATTTCATCTTTCCTTCAATCCATCATCTTTATCATATTTTTACAGTACAATAACCCCGAGATACTCGATATCCTACTGCCACGGCCACTTCTCTAGTCATCCCCTTTAACGCCACCCACTACTTACTTCTGGCTTCCTTCTTCCACGCACTTTTCCCTTTGAAGCCACGATTTTCTACTTTTCTTTCGCCTTTTCTCGTCGCTGCAAAAAGTCGAAAAACTTCAACTTCTGCGGCTTCTCGAGCTTTCTCGCCTGTAACGACCGCTTCTGCTGCTTTTTACTGTCCTGGAGGAGCTTGTACCCTTGCGTATTCCTCCCTTGCCACGGCAGCACGCTCGGCCGTGTGTGTTTCTCGAGTGTGGGCGGCTTCATATATCCGAAGCAGCGCGGCGGCGTCTTTGCCTGCCATCTATACCCCCCCAAAGGCTGCACCACCAGCCAGCTACAGCGGACAACAAGAAGAAGAGTAGTTCAGAGGACAAGAGAATACATCTTCCCACCAGGAGTGACATCCAGAGACATTGAGTGACCTGCGTTGGGCGGGCAGTTTGTCTCTTGAGATAACCGGGGGCGTCACCACCAGCCACCGCAAACTCCCGAGCAGCCAGACGGACTATACAGACAGGACATACAGGACATACAGGACATACAGACGGACTCTCTGCCTGCAGCTCTCGCAGAGACGAAGACGATCCTCCGCCGGCCGTCGTCTGTCCATCTCTGAGCCCGCCAAGTGGACGGCCGACCAGCAGGACAGGGGTTTCTACCGACTTCTACGGCCTGCCGACGAGCTGCGTCAACGCCTCTGCCACCCTCTGAGGCGCTGAATCCGCCCTGCAACCGCTCTCTGCACCCGTAACCGACCGCCTCTGCTGCCTCTACAAGTGCTGGACCGTCGCCGTTGTTGCTTCGCCCGCCAGCCTCTTTTTTTGCGTGGTTGTCTGTCAATCAACAACGCGTTTTTCCTGTTTCACGCCATTTTTCGCGCACCCAGAAAAACTCCATCCACTCCGAGCCAGCGCTGAAAAAAAACCCAACCACAAAATTTCCTCGGCTACCCGACCATCCACCCATCGCCATCACCACCACCCATCGCCTGCCTGCCTGCCAGCCACCACCGTTGCTTGACCTTCCATCGCTCGTCTGCCTGCTACTCTGTCCGCCATGGCTGACACCGGTAAGCCCTGCGCCGCCCGTTCCCTGCCTGCCCGTCGATGGCGACGCTGGAGAGCTAACCCATGTGTTGTTGTGTTTTTTTCCTGCAGAACCGACCAAGATTCCAGAGCCATCGCGTCCTGAACAGCAGGAACCCGAGCCTGTCAGCAAGGAAGCCGGTCAGTCCAATGCCTAATACCCTCCCCATACCTCCGTCCTGGCCTTTTTGTTCGCCTTTCCCCCTTTTTTCTCTCTAATTTTCTATGTTGTTCCGGAGGACTAACCCAGGTCGCGACTTCAACTACACAGACGCGGAACGCACCACTGACACAGCAGACAAACCCCAACCCGAGTCAACAGACAATGCTGCAGAAGAGAAGAAGCCAGCCGAAACCAGTGCTGACGCGGAAGCAGATGCCTCTGCGGACAAAGCTGATGGCGGGGAGGGTGGCGAGGCTGCTGGTACGACCGAGCAAGCTGCCGCCGAAACAGCTACGAATGGCGCTTCATCTGCTCCCAAGAAGGCTGCCAATGGCAAACGCAAGTCGACGGCCGGCCCTGGCCAGAAGAAGCTCAGCAAGAAGAAGTCAATGAACCGGATATACCACCTGGACGTGCAGCCAGGAGAGGTCTACCTCGCCCGAATGAAGAGTCATCCGCCATGGCCGTCCATCGTCTGTGACGAGGAGATGCTTCCTCCGAGCCTACTCAGCACGCGTCCAGTCACTACTAAGCGAGCAGACGGCACATACGCCGAAGCTTACAGTGACGGAGGAAAGAAAGTGAATGAGAGGACATTCCCGGTCATGTTCATGGCCACTAACGAATTGTGAGTGAAACATTCACTAGTCTTCCTTCACCTCGGTCTCTCTTTGGCTACAAAAAGATATATTCTTGCAAAGCTCCTTGATTAACAACTTGTCTACTCGTAGTGCCTGGATTCATAACGCCGACCTCACCCCCATAACTCCACAAGAGTGCAAAGACGTTTCAGAAAAGGGCAAATCTAAGAATCTGATCGCTGCCTACCAGGTAGCCGCCGAGGGCCACGATCTCGACTATTTCAAGGAAATGTTGAACGATTTCGAGCTTGCTGTTCAGCAAGCCCAAGAGGAACAGGAAGCCAAGGCTGCCGCAAAGGCTGCAAAGGAAGAGAAGAAGAAGAAACGAAAGAGCATGGAAGTCGTCGAAGGGGCGGAAGATGAAGAGATGGAGGATGCAGGAGAGAAGAAAAAGAGCTCAAAGAAGCGCAAGAAGGACTTGGAAAGTGAAGGGGAACAGGAGAAGGTAAGCCAAAATGCCGTATCCGATATAAACCCGCTACTACCGCCTGCAAAGCTGTGGTACGATCACCCGTAGAGAAATACGGATGCTAACCAGTAACCACTGTAGCCCGTGAAGACGCCCAAGTCCGCCATGAAACTAAAGTTGACTACGCCCAAGGCTTCCGCTGCTGGCGAGAAAGGTGAGAAAGGTGTGAAAAAGGCCGCCACTGCCGGAAAGTCGTCCAAGGGGAAGTCCAAGAAGAAGACAGAGGCCAGTGACGAGGAGGTAGAAACCCCCAAGGAAGCCGAGAAGCCAGTCGACCCGCAAGAGGCCAAGGCAAAGCGTGAGAAAGAGAGTACGTATCATCCGGGTTTTAATTCATGATGAGTCTTCATATTAATGCTCGTTTTCTCAGTTTTATATCTTCGATACAAATTACAGAAGGGCTTCCTTACGCGTGACCAGGCACCAGAGGAGTCCGAGATGGAGTTGATGTCCACATATATCAACAAGCTGGAAGCCTACACTGACCTCGAAGTGAGCATCATTCGATCTACCAAGATCAACAAGGTGCTCAAGGCCATCATCAAGCTGCCCACCATCCCCAAGGAAGAAGAATACAACTTCCGAGGACGATCCGTTCAGATTCTATCCAAGTGGAAGCAGCTCCTAGAATCAGATATACCCTCGGCAGGCGAGGGATCTACTCCCGCAGACAAGCCGACATCCAACGGTGTGCACAAGAAGGGCAGGGGTGGAAAGAAGGTCGAAGTAAAGAAAGAAGAGGAAAAGAAGACCGAAGAGGCCGATGAAGATACCGCTGAACCATCCAAGGACGGCGACATCTCCATGGCTGATGCAGATGATGAGAAGCCCGAGGCCGAAAAGGAGGAAAAAACGGCCAAGGAAGAGGAGAAAGAGGACGAGAACGAGGAGGAAAAGGAAAAAGAAGAGGAGGCTGGAACTCCTGTAAAGGATGCTGATGCCATGGAGACATGAACTAAACAGCCATACCTGTGAAGGCTATGCTCGTTTGTCCTAGCATGCATGCTATCCGGCCTGCAATACACCATGCATTGTCTTGCAGAGCCCGTTATTTCCAAGAACAAATGACTTTGATACAAAAAGCCTGAAACCAAACATACCCGTGTTTTTGAACTGCTCACTTCTTATTTTTTTACCAATCCAGCTGGGCCACCATGGCGGAAAAAAATTGTACCCTTTTTTCCTCAACTCGACCTCCTCCGTCTCCTACTATCCTGCTTCCAAAACCAGAGAAGCCCCCAAAGCGATGACCCATTCTGCCTTCAACCGCCTCGGCCAGCTTATTGCAACTGTTTCTTATTATATTAAATTCGTTCTCTGGACTGTCTGTGTATTATGCTGCGAATTTTGTGTGTACTTTGTTAATGCTACAGGGCTCTTTTTTTTTATAGTTGATTAATCCCCTTATTATTACCATATATTTCGATCTATTTATTTGTTAGTCCCTTTGGCCTGCATCTCCCTCTTAAGATGTCTGTCCACTAGGCGACTGGCGACTCCTCCCTACTAGATATCGCCGGAGCTGCATGCTAATAGAGACTTACTGGACTATGTTTGCTCCAGCGAACTGCATGGCTCCATCAGCCCCTTTTCCCCGAGTCCTTGAAGATAACTCGACCGTAAGTCCCTCTATAACGTGCACGACGACCACTTTTCCAACTCTCCAGGCCAGTAATTTAACAGCTATTAGCCCTGCTAATACTCCGTATGATCCGATTCTTTGTTTTCTCCAGCAGGTTTCATACTCGCCTTTGTCTTGTGCTCTGGCCGCTATCAGCACTCAATAGACATCGCTAGCTAAGAATAACCGACCAAACGACGAGATGATTGGCCGCCACCGTCGTCGCGGGTACCCAGCTCTGTATAAATAGCCCAGCTGGTGACCTCGCTGCATGGCCTGCTTTGCGTTCAGCCGAGTGGTGATGGCTATGCGACTACATACGTAGCCTCCTAGCCTCCTAGGGGCCCAGCCAGAAGCGCAGCCATGCATGAATTGAGCTCCATGTCCGATCTTCCCCCTCCGTAACTATTCGTCTAGGACTACCGCTGACCATCTTTGCAGATACCCTTCAGAACAGCCGAAAGACGGCATAGACACGGCTGATAGCGCATCCATATGCGATGACGATGACGGTGCCGAGCAGGACAAGCTGCTCTCTACTGCCAGTCGCATTCCAGAAGAGGACGAGGAGCGACCTTGTTTGTACGAGTCAGCGCAGGAGAGCTTTGCAAAGGACCCGTTCAGACCGTTCCCTTTGCCCGGCTCCTCAAGTGCCCGGAACGAGAAGAAGATTCTGACCTTCCGAGCACTGCTTGTTGGGATCTCCTGCGGTGCTTTGGTGAATGCATCGAACATATACCTGGGTCTCCGAGCTGGCTGGACCTCGTCAGCAAACATATTTGGCGTAAGCCCATTCGACCTTGGGTTACTTGCAATACATACCCCTTTCTAACGTCAGACATAGTCGATTATAGGGTTTGCAGTGCTCAAATCATGGTCTTCCTATTTTGCGCCCTCGTCTCTACTAGGCGGTTTCTTCGGGCCACAGGAGAACAACATTGTTCAGACCGCTGCTACGGCTGCTGGGGGTTTATCGAGTGTGTTTGTCTCTGCCTTCCCGGCAATGTATCAGTTGAACTTGCTTGATACCCCATGGAGAGACTTCCTGCGTGTTACCGTGCTTACTGCAGCCGGTGGATATTTTGGCTTATTCTTTGCAACGCCCTGTAAGTATTTGGTCTCAATATCCATTAATTATGCCCAAATACTATCCCGATTGCAATGCTAATTAGCACATATCAAAGTACGCAAATTCTTTATTTTCCAAGTTGCTAAGGAGCTCAATCTTGTCTTTCCATCTTCCTCTGCGACCGCAATCACGATTTCAGGCATGCATCTTGCCGCGGGAGGGTCACGGCTGGCCCGTCGGAAAATGGTGGCTTTAGCGTCTGCTTTTGCATTTGCATTGGTACTCAGGGTTATGTCTCAATATGCTCCTGGACTTCTTTGGGTAAGCAACAGTTCTAGTGAGTTATCTGTGCAGGATTATGGCTAATTTAGAACGTTTTGACCGTGGTCACTATAGGACTGGCATATTTTCACTTGGCTAGCGCTTTCAGGGGTTTTACCTTCGACTATGTTCGCCATTCAGAGCTGGGGATGGTTTATAGAGTGGACACCGGCGTTCATAGGTACTGGAATGCTAGTTGATATGAACGTGGCATTGTCTTTTGTTTTTGGATCTGTATTAGCATGGTAAGTCTATCTGGACTATATTGCTACTTATCAACATTCTGATTTAACTCATTGATAGGGGTATTGTCGGGCCAACTATTACAAAATACGGACTTGCGTTTGGAGAACCGGTTTCGACAGATAGTAAATGGGATGGATTGGTGTCCTACATCTCTTTTTCAAAGGAGTTTGCCAATGCAACTCATCCTAGCCCTAGATATTGGCTTCTATGGCCTGGAGTTGCCTGTATGATAGTTGTTGAATTCACAGGTACGAATATCATGTGTCAATATCTATTTGCTACTATCAGTCACTAACCTAATGATAGAGCTCGCCTGTCAATGGAGGGTTTTCTGGCTCACAGGAGTAGAGATATACAAAGCCTGCAATAACATACTGTCGCGGCTGCAAGAGAACAGGCATAAATATAAACATCTTACCGAAGAAGACGAGCTTAGGACAAATCAGGCTATGGACGGAGGAATTAAAACATGGATGTGGTTACCGGGGCTTATTGCTGTCCTTATATTGACCTGTGTGGTGAGCAGACTGCAGTTCGATATCCCGGTTGCTTCTTCGATTCTCTCACTGGTCCTGGCATTCACCTTCTCAGTCATTGCCATCCAATCAACAGGCGCAACAGGTATATAGTCACATCCCTATACTACATCAGAAGAAGATACAATGTGATATTGACTATAGTCTAGATATTACACCCCTTAGTGCCATTTCAAAGGCCTCCCAGCTAGTTCTAGGAGCGACAACTCGTGGCCCGGAGTGGAAACTAGAGAGTTCCCAAAGGGTTAACTTACTCGGAGGAGCTTTAGCTAGCATAGGCGCCAATCAAGCCTGTGGTATGGTTTCTATACTTCCCGCTTCTAGTATACCTAAGCTAACCAAAAATAGACCTCACGGGAGATTTCCGAGTCGGATTTCTGCTTAACACTCCGCCATGCACACAGTATGCTGCCCAAGCCATAGGAACATTCTTCGCCGTCTTCCTTGCCCCTGCGGTGTTCTCTGTGTTTGCTAGTGCATATCCTTGCATTCTATCTACAGGTGATGAACCACGTAGCAAGAACGGCACCACGGGTCAGACGTGCCCATTTACAGCCCCTGCTGCCTCCGCGTGGCGTGCAGCAGCAGTGGCCGTAACAGATCCCGAATTTCCCGTCTCTAAAACCAGCGTACAGTTCTCCATAATAATGTCTGCCATAGGCTCAATTGTGGTCCTGGTTCGGCATCATCTGTGGATAGGCAAATGGGCATGGATGCGTAACTACCATCCAAATATGATGACTATGGCTATGGCCTTTCTCATTCCTACCACGCAGTACAGTACAGCCATGCTTATTGGTACAGTGATAGCCATGGTATGGAAAAGAAGGAATAGCGGCTCTTTTGAATCGTACGCGTATGCTGTAGCAGCAGGATTTATGGCCGGTGAAGGAATTGGTGGCGTAATTAATGCAGCCTTGACCATAATTGGCATCGACGGTGCACATCTAGGAACCAGTATTGGCTGCCCAGGAGGTGAATGTTGAATTCCAAGGCCTTAATGGCGAAAGGAACCAATTTTTTGGCTTTTGAATTTCTATACGTCCTCAAGTTTTCTCAAAGGGTTAAGCTTAGTTACGTTACTAGTTAACTAGTTGACCATTTAGGTGGAGTGTACCTATAATGTGGTACACTTCCTGTATTTGCTTGCAGCTTTCATGGTAAGAAAGATGTTTTACTTGCCCATGCTCTTAGCTGAAGTATTCAAGGCCTGGACCAGGTGAAACCAATAAGACTGATAAGGTCAATATGTTAGAGACAACAGGTAAGGAACAAATACATAATGGCATCAGCGGAAAGGGAGTGGCCAAGCATTTTCATTAACATAGTATTAGCCGCGTAGTTGAGGAATTGCGACTTGTGCTGATTAGCACATCGATGGAGACATCTCTGCATAGTATCCAGGAGCGCAGGGTCGGTATCCCCGGATTGCGAAAATTCACGAATCGATTGGAGTTTCGATACTAGAGAGAAATTTATCAAAAATATCAGCATTATCTGCAACGATCTGTCCAGCCATTTTTTTAGCAGCATTATACTCGATATATCTGTCCCATGAGTGCTTGAGGAAGTGTATGTAGACTTCCTGGCTGGACTTTTGGCCCCGTCAATGGAGGCACCCAATCGCCTGAATAGTGGTGTTCACATTGATCGCTGGTTCAACGAGAATCAGAGTCGAACAATCTCGATGTAAATTCAGACCAGCCCCTCCATTGTAATAGCACTTGTGGCGCTCCGAGTTAGTGTTGGATGTTTGTGAAGTAGAAGTCAGATGTGCCCCAACACGTCCGATGACTAGTTTTTTGATTTGGGAGACTTCGGGGACCTTGAGGAGCGAAAGGCAATGTAGGAACCCACCATTAGAAAGGAAAATTCCTTCGAATGTGTCAATAGGTGTGACGTCCTGTCAATACGCCCCAAGGTAGTCTCTTGAAACCCGCGATTCTTAGGAGGGTGGTATAACACTACCAAGCCGCTGATCCAAAAATGGGAGCCCCTAATTGGGTGCAGAGAGAGTCGTTATATATCTTTGACAACCACTCACACAATCCCATTTATAGTGTTATAACTATGGTCCCGTGAGATCCCCATAATGGGGCCCTGCATATTCACAGGTGTCTCTCTGATATTCTTGTCCCCTATCATAACCGATGAATTTCTGATAGCGATGACAGCGTTCACAGCCCACAACCAAGGTAGTCCCAGCAGGAGCTGCGGAGAGCTGGCACCCTAGGTTTTAGCTGGCGAAATAGTTACAACAATAATGTGGATATCGAAGGTCGTTGAGGTTGTTCCTTTGAAGTCAAGCGAAGCGGCTCAATTTAGCATTCTCTTGGCGCTGTGCCGCATAGTTCGGCTCTTCCCGAGGTCTCCACCGCGGGCGGCAATTCAGCTAAATTTATATCCGAGACAAGACTGCTGTGAAAGAGTGGGGATAAAGGTGTAGATATATGTGTATGGACAGGCAAACCGAGTCCTGTTTCTCCGGTCTTTGATCGATCTGTCTGTTCAACCCTCTTTCTCACACTTATTCCTCAGCTATATCCGTCGATTGTCAGTATGGCCCAGACAGAGGAGCCGTGGTTCATCAAACTCCACGACGAATGGATTTCTTCCAATGGCAGTGAAGAAGGGGTTGTTGAACATGATTTTGCTATCATTATCAAGGACTTGCTTCTGGGTAAAATCTGCCCGGTAGACGCTGCAAAGGTAATTGACACCTACTACTGGGACAGAAATCTCGACTCGGGCCCTCTCTTCAAATACCATCCTGATGGAGTAGGAGGGGTCGAGGGAGCGCTCTATGAAATCATCCTTGATGCGGTTGAACTTCTCTCCTATAAAGATAACAGGCAAGAAGATCTAGCGCATCTCGTTTTAGAACTGCATAGGATTCCGCCAAAGCCTTTCAAGCGCTGGAATGTACGCTGCACTTTTCCCCCTTGATTATATCTGATGACAGTTTTTGACTCTAAATTTAGGGCGATCTATTTGTGACGGATACTCTCTTTACCGAGAGTCTCTCAAACCGTTGGCGTGATGCTTACAGTATGATCCAGCCCAATTTTGCCTCCAGTCTGGTTTCTACTAACATATCAAGGACACGAAATAACCTCGGAAACTATGAAGGAAACATGGGTATCCCTATCATCCTTTATCGCACGGTGTATCGAACTCCGCATCGAAAGCCACGTCCCAGATAGTGACAGGTATCCTCTTATTGAGATCACCAAAGGTCTGGGGGAGAATCTTTCCCCAGGGCTTGAGCGGGACACACGGGCTATGGTCGCTGCCCAGTATATCTTGTTGACTCCCACCCTTGTCAATGATAAGCTGGCTAAGTTATCAGGAGGGCGTGACAAACCATCGGGCTCTGACATTCTCAAGCTGTGGATAGCTAAACTGAAAGAACTGGCAGAGAACGGGAGCCTAAACTCCGAGGTGAAGGCTGCTGTTGTCGAAGCTAGGCAGAAGCTCCTTTCTCTGCATCCAGAGTTTTTCCAGGACTGATTTGTAACGGAGTTCGAGGGAAGTAGAATAGAGGATTTAGTAGAAAGTAATTTCTCCCATTTCATAAGTTATGTGCATAAATACGGATGTACTAGGTCTTTATGGAAGTCATGAAAATACACATAGAATTGAAGTCTGCCTGGGGCCAGCGGTATCTGGAGCAATGCTGTATCCTCAAAAGGTTTGCCAGAGTATACCCGGTCATAAAAGAAAGTGAGTAAGTTGGATATAAAAAGAAAATAATAGTCATCAAATAAAGTACATAGTAAAAGCACATCTGTCGACTCCGGCAGTCGAATAATCCCGCAAAAACAGCAACCTAGTTCTCCGGAAGTTGCTGTATAGTCTCTTTGATCAGAGCAATCAGCTCATCAATGTCTGGCCGTTCAGCAGGCTCAACCCGTAAGCAACGCCTAACCAGCTCCTTTACTGGTGGGCTTATACCTCCACTCTCGGTTGAACCAGCATCAGCGACATTCCCTTGCGAAGAGACCCTGGTTTTACCCTTTCCAGCATCTGTATTTCCGCCCTTCTCGTCGGGGAATCGCCAGTCGCCTCCAAGAACGCACATGGCCAAACTGCCACCTGTCTCTTCACTGCGGGCTTCAAACGGACTCTTGCCTACGAGACAAGCGTATAGTGTGCAGCCTAGAGACCAGATGTCTACTTTCTCGTCGATAATGGAGCCTGTCTTCACGTCGAACAGCTCTGGCGCACGGTACGGCATGGTGCTGTGTTCGGCAGCGGTGTCTTGGACAGCTATGGCGAGGGAGCGAGATGTGATTGCGATTGGACTTGGGCTGAGGGATCCTAGATCCATGAGGATTGGGGTCTTGCCGTCATCATCTATCATGATGTTCCCTACATATGTATTAGTGAAGCTCATTATACGATGGTAATCTGAGGACGTAAATACCAGGCTTGATGTCTCGGTGGGAATACGGTCTGTATTCACCCTCTTCCACGCCTTCCTGGCTGATTGCAACTTCACCATCCATCAGAGGCTCATGTTCAGACTCGTCTTCATCGTCATCAACCCTTCGACTCGTCCGCCTGGTCGGCTTGCCCTTTGATTTGCCCTTTGCGGCTCCATTGCCATTCCCTCTCGATGCAGAGTCCTTCACCTTGTACTGATGCATACACTTCAGCGCCCTGGCTACTCCGAGCATTAATATCATCAAGTCTCTCTCTGGGAACGAGGTGTGGTTGACCAGATTGGCGTTGATGGCGTCCTGAAGGTTTCCTCGCTGGTAGTACGGCAGAAGAATGTACACGGTTTTTGACCCGGCATCTGCGCCATCTGATCTGAATTTCGACCCAGACTCGGTCACGACCGAGTAATCGATGGAATGGATGATGTTGCGGTTGGGAGTGAACAAGCTGTATGCTTCGACTTCCTTGAGGGCGAGTGAGACGGATTCTTGACCGAACGGACACCGTATCTTCTTGAGCGCAAAGAGCTCGTCTGTGCTCTTATCCTGGACGAGATAGACGTAGGAGAAGCCGCCCTAGAAGCCCGAATTCATTAGACATGCTCGCAAATTTGGGGGGATAATCTGCATAATTGAAGTCGTACCTCTCCGAGAAGACGCAGCAGCTTGAAGCTCCGGTTGTTGATCTTCAGCTGCGGCGAGCTCGGGAAGCAGCAGAGACAGTCCGTGAAGGTGTAGAGGAGGTCGAAGAAGTACTGCGCCATTGTCACCGTCCTCGCTGTCGCTGGATAGACGATGAAGCCGGGGGGTTCGTAATAGTAGCAGCAGTAACAGCAGCAAGAGAGCAGAATTGACGGCTGCAGAAAAGGAGGCCAGCGCCGACCAACAGGCTAAAACGGCGGTTTCAAATGCAGTCTTGACCCTCCTAGTATCTCGTCCGTGTCCAATGACTAGTCGGCAGCGCCAGGATCGCAGGCTGGAGAAAGCTGGAGAAGGTCGAGATAGTCGTTGTTTGATGCTTGGAGGATGCGCGGCTGTGGCTGAGGCCGCGAGAACCGACGAGGTGGCTTTTCTCTTCCTCACCGTCGAAAAAAAAAAATAAAATAAAAAAAAGCTGCGACTTCACCAACCAACTACATTATAAACTACCACGCCCAAGAACGCTCGACACAGACAGACACTCCCTTGCTACCAGCGCATCTCCTGCATATCATATTAACGAGGGCTCCCCCAGCCGCTGCTCCGTCTGCCGCGCGTGTTCCATCCTCCTTGGACCCTGATCAGCCGCTAAAAACGGTCATAAACAAATAAACAGCACCCTCAGGCCAGCTCCTTTTCCTCCCTCCATCCTCCGCTGCTCGGCCCAGGCAAGCCACAAGGGATTCACCCGTTGCCGTCTTTGCTTTTTCGACCTTCTCTGACCTTCTCTGGGGTTTCGTTCTCGGTTTCAGCTCCTTTTTTCCTCTTGTCCGAGTCCTACCAACTAGCCGGAGTCTGTAACCGTTGTTTGAAGCCTCTCTCACCACACTCTACTACTCGAGTCTTACTGCTGAGATCACGGCTGACGAACCTCGAGACGGGCAGTTTTGGGAGCCTACGATGTTTTGAGACGATCCCGTGGCCATTTGTCTGATGCTATAAAGGGAAAAAAGGACTGTGACACCATGACGGCCGCTGACGACGTCCAGGTCGGCGACCTGGTCAACGTGCCAGGTGGGATGTACGGGACAGTGAGGTTCCTGGGCCCGGTAGCAGGCAAGCCGGGCAGGTTTGCTGGCGTCGAGCTGGCGCCAGAGCTGGCTGGCAGAGGGAAGAACAGCGGAGACGTCGACGGAAGACACTACTTTACGACCTCGATCCCCGGCTCGGGCATATTCGTGCCCATGAACAACTCGAAATACGTGACGAGACGAGCGGTAGCGCCACAGCTGACAGCAACATCTGCGAGGAGTGGCCCGTCGATTACGAACTTCAGTAGATCTGTTGGGCCTGGGTTGAACCTGTCCTCGACTGCCAGACCAAGGATTCGACGGCCCTCGTTGCCGCGGCCGGATTCACCCAGCAAGGGTGCACCTCTACCATCGCCAAAGTTGAATGTTAGTGGTCTACGCACGCCGTCTGGTATGCCAAAGGGCCCTCCCATGAATGGACGGCCACGTACGCCGCTCAAGAGTAGACCGGCGAGCAGACCGTCATCTAGGATCAGCATGGAGAGCACAACTCCGAAACGGACGGATGCTGTTCGCACACCCGCCCTCGAAGACTCTGATATAAACGACCGGACGAGGGAGCTGGAAATGCAGCTTCGTGAGCGTGACAAGCAACTGGAGGTCCAGGCAGCAACCCTTGCAGAGTTCCAGCAGTGTGTCACCGAACTGGAAGGGCTGGATGCTCTCCAGGTCAGAGCACAGCTGAAGGAGAAAAACGACAAGATATCTGCTCTCACGGCAGAATTTGATAGCCATAGGGCGGATTTCAGGAGTACCCTTGATACTCTCGAAGTAGCAGCTTCCGAGACTGAGCGGGTATACGAGAAGCGAATCGAAGAGCTGCTCCAGGCAAACAGGGAGCTTCAGTCTCGCGGCGAAGATGTCGAGACAGTGGCCCTGCAACTCAAGCAGCTAGAGGAACTCGTATCCGAACTCGAGGAAGGCCTCGAAGATGCTAGGAGAGGAGAGGCTGAGGCCAGGGGTGAAGTCGAATACCTGCGTGGAGAGGTTGAGAGAACCCGCTTGGAGCTCAAGCAAGAACGGGAGAGATCATCAGGCTCATTCCAGGACGGCGAGTCCTCAGCTGAAGGGTCGAGTAGGCACCATCCTACGATCAGAGACCTGGAGCAAAAGGACGACGAGATTCGCGGGCTTAAAGCTATCATTCACTCCCTCAGCCGTGGAGACCCAACTTCGCAAGCGTTCCTCCAGCAAAACGGCATAGGACAAGGAAAGGGGCCGTCTGATGGAGACTATGATGCCAATGACCAGCTGTCGAAGATGGACTTACGTATTCAGGAGCTCGAAGCCGCTCTGGAGCATAAAACCCAGCGGATCAGCGAGCTGCAGCAAGAGGTCGAAATGGGCCAGGCGCAGACAAATGCCTTTCGTGGACATACCCGCAGTGGCACAATCACCACCTCGCCCCTGAGAGTCCACAAGAATGCACAGCCGGCCAGCGAGAGGGCCGGCCCTAGCGTACCAAGCCATGCACACACGCTTTCGGACCGCACGATCGTCCCCGGAGACTGGACCGAGAACTCTCCTGGCCAGGGCAACACCCTTGATGCCCAATCGTCTAGCACGGACGATGGCAGTGCAGCCTGGTGCGAGATCTGCGAGACCAGCGGACATGACATCCTCACCTGCACCAATATGTTTGGCACGATGGGTGCAAGCAAGCCAACCAGCCACCCGGCGAGCCTTCAACCCGCAACCCAGCCACCGCCAGTGACCGGGCCACCGGAGAGAAGCGGTTTTGTCCAGGCCTCGATCGATTCCGCGCTTCATGACAGCATGGACAGCAGCTTCTCCTCCACCCGCAAGCCATCGTCCACCACTCCAGAGGCTAACGGATCCGCGTCCGCGTCCGCGTCTGTCAAACAGGGCAGCCCTAGCTCCCAGCGGACCGGCAGAGACGTCGTGCTGGAAGGCCTCAAGGGTATTGGTGGCATCCCTTCTTCGTCCATGGCGCCTGTTGCTGGAAAGTCATCTGGCGTCATCGATGAGTCGAAATGGTGTGCCCTGTGTGAACGAGACGGCCATGAAAGCATCGACTGCCCCTTTGACGAGTAAACTGAGAACAGACCAGACTTCGTTCACGCTCATTCATAACGCTTTTGTTTTCTCTTCAGCGTGTCATCCATCTGCTGCTATTTAATGCGAGTATCTCGGCGCGGTCTTCCTTTTTCTTGCTTATTTGCGACTGTCCCGACGTTCGCTATTACGGTCCTATATCCTCTTTAATACTTACTGATGGCCTCTGATATTTTCGGCACTTGACTCACGGCCATGATGCATGTTCATTGAAGGAAGAAGAAGAAGAATGCCCACCATACCCCCCCTATACCACTCCATCTGCTTTTCAACCATGACTTTCGGTATACGATTGCACGGTATACCCATCCCCCGACATTCTCCCAGTGTACATGCTTCCAGTTCAGCATAGCCTTGCAGGTTTTTTTTTCCTTTTTTATTTCCTTTACATTTACCCACCCTTTTTATTCCCTTTTGTTTTAATATACCTCGCTTTTCTCTCGCTTCGCTTTGTTTGAAAGAGGTCTTTCGGACTCAGTTGGGGTTTTGCTTCTCTCTCACACACTCACTCACACACTCACTCTCTCTTCGTTTTTCCATGTACCAGGACTGGCCAAAAAAAAAAGAAACAATTACTTACTTTATCCCCCTATTAGTGTCTATAATCAATATCATACACATCTGATTTCTCTATCCACTCTTTCTTCTCATGCATGATATCCCTATCCCTGACATTATTCGGTGATCATCACTCCAGCGACCTGGACCTGGAGGGAGATACCGTGGTATACTGACATCAGAACAGGGACGCCGAGCAAGGCAGAGACACAAGAGAAGAGAGGTATTATTCTGCTGTTTTTCTTTTCTTTTCACCCTTTCGTTCAAGAAAAAAGGAACAAGGCATTGCTGGATCATTGCGCGAATACCCTTCGATGAAAGAAACAAGGGGGCCTTAAAAGAAGACAACCCAGATTGAAGAAGAATAAAAAGGGGGGAATCTATGCAAACGCCGATCCCACACTCCCACTCCCACTCCCCATTTCCCACTGTTAGTTAGATTGCGTACGGCAACCGCAACAAAACAAAGAAGAAGAAGAAGA